TTTCCGGTCATTAGCGTCTTCCGGATGACCAATAGGCGATCTAAGTCGCCTATTGACCTAGTACAAGTTCATTTAGAGCTGTCGCCTGAAGGGAAGGCCATTTTTGACGTAAAGTCAATCTGTGGCCTCAGCGGGCTCATAGTAGAGCCGCCACGCAAAAATGGCCTCCCCGGTCAGTGCCACAAATGCCAGTTGTACGGGCACTCGGCCCGCAACTGCTTCGCTCGTCCTAGGTGTGTTAAGTGCCTAGGAGATCACGGTACGTCGGAGTGCTCTAGGCCGAAAGATAAATCACTTTTAGAGGCTTTCGGAAAGCCCGCCTGCGTTCTTTGCCGCGGTGATCATACCGCTAACTACCACGGGTGCCCAAAAGCACCTAAGCGTAGCCCGAAACAACCCCAGCGATCGGTACGTCGGCCCCCTGCGGTACTCTCACCCAACGAATTCCCACCTCTCCAACCCTCGTGGAAAACGAACGCCCGAACCCCCGCATGGGGCAGTAACAGTCCCACGGCTAGCGTACCCGCGAGTAATACATCCACCGCGCCCACTGCTAAGCCGGCACCGGTCAAGCCGGCGGCAATGCCTACGCCACCTAAAACGACAGGGAATCCTTTTGAATCCCTCAACCGTCTTACGAGCCTCAATACGGAGGAAGTTCTAACATTCGCCGACGAATACGAAAAAGCGTCAGGAAATATAGGAACCCGACTGTACTTAATTAAAAAGTACAAGCACATCGTATGTGCCCTCGAACACAACTAGGCGTCTCGATGGCTGCAAACACGTTAAATAATTGTAGTGATCCGTCTCTCGCGCGTAATAATGGCAGAGTCAAACCGCGTTCGATTAGTATAGCCTTCTATAATGCGAATGGGGGGGTTAGGAACCAACGCGACGAAATCCATACATTCCTCCGCGACCAACAAGTCGATGTGTTACTCGTGCAGGAAACATTTCTTAAACCGACAATGAGAGACCCTAAAGTCTCTAATTATAACATCGTTAGAAATGACAGAACCGGCGCCCCAGGCGGTGGCACTATTATTTACTATAAGAAATCCTTGCACTGTGTACCCATCGATACGCCCACGCTAACACATCT